TCGCCTAATGACACATATATAGTGTTAATTGAGTTGAGGCATTATGAAGATCAAATTGTAATATTTCTTTGAAGAAGAAGTTGTAGGTGGTGCTTCAATATGCAGTAGAGAAGAGGTTAATAGAATTCGCCAAAGATATTTGACATTTTTGAAGTTGTTTGATGATTGTAACTTGTACATATGATGTAGATGTACTTTTAATTTTAAATTATTACAAAAATGAACTTGATGTACAATCTTTTGCAATGTAACTCCAATGATATTTAGAACTTGTCCCTTTGAGGAAGCTAAATTGTTATTGCATCTTTGAAACATATCATGATCCCCCCCCCCCCCCCCCCATATTTTTTGAGGGTATTATTAGACTGCTAAGGTCTTTATATCAGGGATGATTTTATCAATCACTCGCTTTCATGGAATCTTTATAGAGATAATGTTATTCACTCAGAGCACTGCTAGACCTCTATAAAAGAGATTGAGAGAATCCACCAAGGATGTAAGACCTATCCAAGGTTATATGTCAGAGTCTTTGCTCAATGACGATAACCTATGTGTAAGAGGTCGATAGGATCCACCAAGAATGTAAGACCTATCCAATATTATATGTCAGAGCCTTTGCTCGATAACGTTAACCTGTATGGAAGAGATCGAGAGAATCCATCAAAGATATAAGACCTATTCGAGGTTGTATGTCAGATCCTTTGCTCGACGATGTTAACCTGTGTGGAAGAGGTCGAGAGAATCCACCAAGGATGTGAGACCTATTCGAGGTTGTATGTCAGAGCCTTTACTCGACGACGTTAACCTGTATGGAAGAGGTTGAGAGAGTCCACCAAGGATATAAGACCTATCTAAGGTTGTATGTCGGAGCCTTTGCTCGATGACGTTAACCTGTGTGGAAGAGGTCAAATCGAATCCCCCTGGGATTGATTTTGCCTAGATTGGGAGGGGACAAATGCCGCATGTATCCTGAATCAAAAGTAAAGAATGGTCTATCTTTAAATAGTTATTATCTTTTTGAGGTCGAGATTAAGACCTTGTCCAAGGAGTAGAAGTCTAGTAAGGGACTATATAAAACTTGCAATTGATTGGAAGTATCCTTGCATTTGCTGGAATTTTCCTGAAATATCATCTTGAAGTTGAAAGCATTAGAGGATCTTTTTTATTATGGTTAGAGTCAAAGTTGCCCCCAGTCCGCATCTGATTCTTATGATATTGATGCAACAATGATTGATGTCAGGAAGTTGATGGTTGATAAGAGTGATCTTTTGAGATTGGAGCAATAGTTGCCCCCCAGTCGGGAACCACATTGTCACAGATGGCGCCAAACTGTTGCATCCTGGAGTATTCGAGGCGATAGAGAAATATAAAGTTTAATGTTATAGCGTTACAAAAATTTGGCACGCAATCAAATAAAAGAGAGGGTCTAACATTTATGAGACCAAGATTTTTACATGGAAACCCCTAAAAAGGATGAAAAACCACGGGGCCTATCCCAGTTCGAATGAATCCACTAGTATAGCAGTTGATTATGAATGAGGTCCTTCCTTGGGAGAATGCCTTAGCCTGATGTACATTTTATAAAGTACATTACATGATGTGAATACAAAGAGTCACTATTGACGTATTTGTTTGGTCGGGAGGACCATAGTCTGGTGACAGAGTTCAGAAGAATCATAGTCGGTGGGCGACATAGGTCATAAAGACCGTTGTCTGGTGACGAAGGTCGAAAAGACTGTAGTCTACGGGCGACTAAGTCAAGAGGACCTTAGTCAGTGGGCTGGATCATAGTCGATGGGTGACAGAGGTCAGAAAGACTGTAGTCGGCGGACAACGTAAGTCAGGTGGATCGTAGTCAGCGCATGACAGAGTTCGAAAAGACTGTAGTCGGCTGGCGACGTAAGTCAGGAGAACCATAGTCAACTGGCGACGGAGGCTGGAAGGATTGTTGTCTGATGAAAAAGGTCAGAAGGACGTCATCAGGTAGAAGTCCAACAATGGAAAGAAATCCATCTTCGGATAGATGTATAGCGAAAGTCTAATAACCGGTAGAAGTCTGACGTCGGGTAGAAACTTGGCGATGAGTGAAGGTCCGGCGTCAGGTAGAAGTCTGATGTTTGTTGGCGGCCGAGGAGAACTCTGACATCACTTGGGAGGAGTTTTGGCGTCAAGGGGGAACTCTGTCATTACTTGGGCCGAATTTCAGCATCCCGTAGAAGTCGAGCAGAATCTAGGTGGTGGTCGAGGAGGAGTTTCTTCTCTCCTAATCTTCTCTTCTTCTTCTTGCTTCTCCTTTCTTGGGTCCCCTCTTAGAGAAATGAGGGGTCTATTTATAGATTTTATGGAGTGTCATAGCTTGTAAATAGGTGTGAGATCGGGGGCAAATAGGGAGTGGTCGAATGGACGGCTAATATTGAATCCCTTGATCATGCACCGTTCATCAGACATTTGAAGGTCTTAATGATGTCAAAATTCAGTGTTCTTAGGCTCGTTGGATTTGTCTCGTCAAGCCGCTCGATTAGACTATAAGAATATCATATTTGAAAACCGTTTGGTAACTCAAATTATGGTTTGAACTTTCCAACAGCGCTTCGAGTGCTTGATTTGGACTCCTTTGGGCTCGGATTGAGTCGAATTTGGTGTCGTTGAGTTTGTATTTCTGAGACGCTCCGTTTGACTATAAGTTCGCTAAAATCAGAGTTTAGGTGATCCCGGATTTAATTTTTGAAGTTCCAGCTCGATTTTGCCTCGAGATTCGTGCCCAATCATGATAATTTTTTGATGATGTATCAACATTATATAAGCAATATGGCTTTTCTTGATTATTCTGTTAATTCACATGCTCTAAGTACCGTATTAAAATTAAAATTTAGCTATTGTTGCATTCATATTTGCATTTCTCATAGCATGACATCAGGATATTCTGATATATGTGAAAATTGCACTTTCTGATATGTTACAAGATTCCTATATATTCTATTCTGACTCCATCTATCTTGTGTGGATGTGGGAAATATTCTAGCCCTACTTGTTGAAAGTGGGAGTAGGAGATTATATTGTACCATTTTGTGTTGGTTATGGCCCCACTTGTTATACGCTAATATGAGAGGTTAAAGGGAGACATAAATGGAAATGGAGTTAGAAATAGGCATCAAGACATGTGCATTATCATTATGCATCACATGTTTTAATAATTTTAAATAATTAAGTCTAAGTAATATTCTGAACTGAATGTTAATAATTTTTAAATTTTTTGTATGAACCCTTAATAAATGTGAAAAAAAAGTGCAAGTAAACTTTTGATGTCAAATATTCTACAATACATCTGAAATATTTGTGAAAGTGGTTTTAAAATGTATAAGTGAGAATTCTAAAATTGAGTACGTACTAAAACCCTAGAAAATCATATTATATTAGTACTTTACAAGTTATTGAATTTTAATTTTAATTAAATTTCTATTTAATATTTTAAATGGATTTTGATATCTATAATTGGCTAAGGAAAGAAGTTTATTGAGCTAGTTCTGCTTATTTTATAAATTTCTTTGATATTTTATGAAAAGGAGAAGGACAAGCATAATAGAAAGGTGTAGAGGCAAATTCCTCAGAATCCAAGTAATTAAAGTATTATTAATTTGTTGTACGATTTTTAATTCTTTTGATATATTGATTGAAAGTAAGCTGAATTATTGTATGGATGATTTATAATTAGAAAGTTTAGGCATTTTAATCATTTTATTTGATCCTAAAATATCACAAACTAAAAAAAAGAATATCACAAACTTCTATTCTAATTATTCACATTAGCATTTTCTCCATCTCACAACTCAATACCATTGCATTTGAATCATCTCAATATAAAGCTCTGAATTCTTCCTCATTCACTTCGAAAAATAGAGGAATTATGTACATAACACCGAAAACTTACATATTTACAAAATTAACATCCCTACTAATTTTTTAAATTATGGAAATCACGTTTTTGTATGTGCCACAATGTATATGAGTTGACATTTTTTTTTATGAATTTTGACAAATTAATAAAGAATTAAAAATTACATATTGAAGGATATCAGTTTTCTAAATAGCTAAAAATTGAGGATTATGATGTAATTGTCCATAAAAAACATCCCTCAACAAAATAAGGAAAATTTAATTGATAGAAATATGCAAATTTAATGTGACAATATCAAAATCAAATTCTATATACTTGAAACAAGGGCAGCTGAGGGAAAAATTATTCTGTCAGTTACCTAACGTAGAGATACATCAGGTAGCCTATAATACGTCGCCACGTGCACTTACTTTTTCTGCGCGGCTCGACAATCCGACTCGGACCGAATCCAAGATTACTATGTTCGTGTATTGCTTGGTATTTGCTAGGTATTGCTAGGTATTACTCGGTATTGCTTGGCAATAACGATAAATACCGCTCTGTAAAGACCAATACCGAGCAATACCTAAAAGAACTCGGTATTAATACCGAGCAATACCGAGTAATACCTAAAAGAACTCGGTATTGCTCGGTATTGCTCGGTATTGCGCGGTATTGCTCGGTATTGGTCTTCATAGAATAGTATTTTTTTGTTTTTGTCGAGCAAAATGGATCAATACCTAGCAATACCGAGCTACACCAACTCCCGGGTCCGCTCCGGGTCGGGTCGTCGGGCCGTGCGGTAAAGAGTAAGTGCTATATATATATATATATATATAAAAAGTTTGTCACTTTCCCATATAAGAACTAAGGCTGATTCCGTCTCTGACTTGAAACATGTGTTTAGCTAGAGGTGCCAAAAATTGACGTGAGCCAAAAACTTGACTTGCACGACACGAAAATTTTTGGTTCACGTCAACCTAAACTTGAACTGGGTCGGGTTCGAGTCCTGATTTTCAAACTGTTTCGAATTCCTGGTCAGGTTCGAGTTAATTTGGAAACCCTAGAATGACCTGAAATCTAGTCAGTGAGCAAACGAAGAAGCGCATGAAAGGGAGAAAATTACCTTCACAGCGAGCGAACTTCCGTCGTTGCTTCTGATCAAAATGTTGTAACTTCCAATCCGAATGAAAGGGAACATTGTCCAAGGAGTGAAGTCGAATAGCTACGAAGAAGCGCACAAAAGGGAAAAACTTTATCTTTACAGCGAGCGAACTCCCATCGTTGCTTCCGACCAAAATGTTCTGACTTCCAATCCGACTAGAAGGGAACGTCGTCCAAGGAGCGATGTCAAATAACTACGAAGAATTACACGAAAGGGGAAAGTTATCTTCACAGTGAACGAACTCCCGTTGTTGCTTCCTATCAAAATGTTTTAACTTCCGATTCGACTGAAAGGGAACGTCATCCAAGGAGGGAAGTCGAAAGCTACAAAGAAGCAAACGAAAGGGAGAAAGTTACCTGCACAACAAGCGAACTCCCATCGTTTCTTTTGATCAAAATGTTGTAACTTCCAATTCTGACTGGAAGGGAACGTCATCCAAGAGCTAAGTTGAACAACTACAAAGGGTCGCACTATGCGGGTTGGGTTCGGGTATGAAAAATGACCCATTTTTGCAAATGGATCGGGTCTGAGTCGGGTTAAATAGTGCCGGATCAATTTCGGGTTGAACCCGAACCTGACCTGTGACCCAATTTGACAACCCTATGTTTAATACTTTGTCCACTAAGGGTGCGTTTGGGACGCCGTTTTTGATGCTGTACGGTAGGAAACGCAACAGAGATGGGGTTTGGATACACGCGGTCGTGCTCCGTTCTCAAACTTTTTGCGTCCCACTGCTACTTTTTCGGTCCTGAAGTATACTCCTGCTTTTTGCTGCTTTCCGCTGTTTGAGGGTAAGAGAAAGACGCAAATGCATCGTAACTTCTTCTTCTTCCTCGTGAAGTTCGGCGTTGGAGAGAACGGTGAACGAAGGGCAGGATTTTTCCGGTCAAGACTACCCGACATTCCCATCTCCAACCACCTTCCCCTTCACACCTACTGCTTTGAAAAACGGAGGTGCAGCATCAAAAAACGGAGGTGCAGCAGTGAAGTCATCGGTTAGGGAAAGGGATCGTACCTGCGAGCGGAGGCGGTCGTTGTCTTTGAAAAGGGAATCGTGGTCAGCGAGCAGAGCCTCGTAGGAGGATTTGAGCCGATCAAAGTCGCGCTCGAGCTGCTTTTTCTTCCACCGTGCCCTGCGGTTCTGGAACCATACCGCCACCTGCCGGGGTTGCAGGCCTAGCTTCTTCGCTAGGTCGCTCTTCCTCTCCGGCTCCAGCTTGTTCTCTATTTCAATGCTTCTTTCAAGCAGTTGTACCTTTTCAATTACCAGAAACCAGAGCCATTAACAATTTGCTTTGCTTTTGATAGATAAAGAAAAATCACGTACCACTTATTCAGCAAACACTAACAAAACCAGAAAGTAATGAATTTCTATAATAAATTACAAAAAAGGGTATCAAGATAATTTATTGTTACACAGCAGCAGCACAGCGGCTTGACAGTTATACTACCCAAATAAATTTTATTGATTTTTGTACAGCAACTTTATAAAGTAGCTTTCTGGACAACAACTTCACAACCTGCTTTACCGACAACTGCAGCCGTCCCAAACGAAGCCTAAAGCTTCTTAAAAAAAAAAGCTACACGAAAATAACTTCCGGTGATCTTTAAATTTCCCGCGTGCATGTCATCGTAGCGGCTCAAGTTTCCTCTCCGTCTTCAACCAGGTTTAGGGTTCTCGTTTTGTTGCAGTTGTAGTTAGGTAAGATGTCGAGCGCACAGTACGATGGTGGAGCGTCTCTATTCTCCGGTGGCGGCTTCATGCCATCTCAGGCCACCCAAACACCCGAGTCCGGCTTTTCCAAGGTACGTTGCAGGAAAGAAAGATCGAATCTTTTTTAGGTTTTATTTGATCCCCACTTTTTCTCCTCCACTGTAGATGTATCAATTTGCCCTCTTTCTTTTTTCAGGCCCGTGCAGCTCAAGGGATTCTCCCGCTTACAGTGAAACAGATCAGTGAGGCCTATGATTCCAACGATGACAAGTCCAATTTCGTTGTAGATGGAGTTGACGCCACCAATGTGATCTTATTTCCTCAAACTCATTGACAAGGTCAAATTGATATGTTTAAAAAAAAAAAGCCCTAACCCTGCATATGTCTTCGGGGTTTGTGTACAGGTGAAACTCTTGGGTATCATGATGAATAAGATAGAGAGGGTCACTGACGTTTCGTTTGTCCTAGATGATGGAACTGGGCGGATTAATGTGAATAGATGGTGGGTTCTTTGTTCTTTATGATTGCAAAATGCATGAACCCTACCCTATTCTACCTCTCTTTAATTGTTTAACCTTTATCTTTGTTCAGGGTTAATGAAACTTCAGATACCAACGAAATGGCTATTGTTCAGTGAGTAATTGTAGTTTTCTTTCTTTTGTTTATAATTTCCATGGCGTTCTTGACCCAAACTCTGTCAATTTCTCTTGATGGTAAGAAATGGGATGTATGTCACCATCCGAGGTAGTTTGAAAGGATTTCAGGGCAAACGACAAGTTGTTGCTTACTCTGTCCGGTAAGTCTTGGCTGTTTTTCGATGTCAGCTCAAAGGATATTGCAAACTCTGTTTTAGTTTGTTTTGTCTGCCTCACATGCTTAGCCATGAACCATGTAATCTTTCTTGTTATACTTTTAGAAGGAACATGTAATCTGCCCCAAGGTCCCCACAACCTTCCATTTCATGAGAAATTTTGTTTATCATAAAAGCATGCGAATAAATGATTCAAACATTTGTATGAATAGGATGATGAAAAGGCAATAATCTCTGGTGCTTTCCACGTGTCACAAAAAGGTGTCTGGAGTTGTGAAAAACTATGCCTAAATGTCCCAAAAAAAAATACTAATGCTACAGCCCATTCTTAGTGTCTTTGTTAGATTTGAAATATTTTCATGAATTTTTAGTTTTATTTTATTTCTAAGACTTACCTGCTGGAGGATCAGATTCATGAGCCCGAGCTGGGCTTAGGAATGGGTTTAATTGTCAAAGAAGATGAATTACACAGATGAATCTTTGGCCACCTACATTAACTATTGCAGTGTGTTTTAAGAAGTGATTTTCAATGCTTAGATATAAAGGTAGAGAGTTGGAATGAGGAAGTTCTATGCATAGATGGAAAATGCTTATGAGTCAAAGATTCTTGGCTGAAAGATTTGTAGGGATCCTATTTTTCATTGGAAAATTATCTTTTGTCTAGAGTGAGAATGGTTAGATAGACCAGTGATATAATTCAATAGAGCATGATTTGAAATAGCTAGATTTGAGAGGCAATGTATGCAAAACTGAAGATATGTTGGCGAAAAATCTAGATGATTTTTCACATACGGTGATAGGAATATGTTGCTCCAATAAAGCAACTTGATAAAATAGTATTGAAGTATTAGAAAGAAAAGAAATAGGTTTAATATAAATGCTTAGAAGTTGTGCAAAAGGATTTATTCAAAATAGAGTTCAATTATGATATAGTACAAAACAAAAAATGATTAGAAAGAAGATCTATAAAGCCGACCTTAAATAGTTGGGATAATTGTAAAATAAAGAGAAGAATATGATTTCAATGTTCGTCAAGGTGTGTAGAATAATTTGTTTGATATGTTGTTTGAGTTTGCAATGGTAGGAAATATTTCTTTTTATATTGTGTTTATGTTCTTGCGCAAGCACTTGCTTTTGTACAAGGTCATTAGTCATGCTTTATTTGAGAGAGAAAATTGATTTTTTTTTATTTTAATTTAGTTTGTTATCTGTCATCATTCTTATATCTTTGGTTTGCCCTAATAATTATGCTTAGATGTTGTGCATTAGGTGCTAGAGGGGAGTATACCTCGATTTGAGGATTAATTTATATGGTTTGAGCTTAGCCTCATTAGCCTTAACTAGTTCATTACGGTATGGTATATTCTCACTAGATCATGTATTTTTTAATTCACAAATGCTTGAGCTTTTAAGATTATGTTAATTTTTTTTTTTATTAAGTTATTTACCTTTAAATGAAAAAGGAGGTTTTTTTTGCTCCATTAAATTGCCATTGCTTGCAGTTACACTTATTTGATTTGGTTATACATAATTGATATCAACTAAAATATATGACATGTGCATTACCTCTCCACTATAACACACTAAGCATGCAATCTCATGCTATTACAAGTTTTATGTGTATTTGCAAATGTGTTAATCAGTTAATAAATATCAAATTGGATTTTTGCTAAGAAATATGATTCAAACACTAATTGTATGGGGCCCCATATTGGATCTAACAACTTCAAGTTGGCTAGTGTTGATATTCATGTTAAGGTTGTAGTTTAGTATGATCATCTTATTCATTAGTTTTTCTTCAATCACAAACATCTTGTTACTATGACATAGTTTTTTTTATTGAATGCCAAAATAGTTTTAAAGCATGTTTATTTTATGTTTCACACATGTTTTCCCTACTATTAAGCATTTGAGGTATTAATTAAGAACCATTTATGTGGATCATTAAGAAAATATTGATTTAAGAGTTTGTTTGTTTTTCTCCCTCTTTTCCTCTTGCCAGGTTGTGTACTACTCCCCCCCTCCCTTATTATCGGCTATAAGGAACAACAAGCTTTGATCCTATCATGCTAAAATTTGTGAAAACAACTTTTCCTCATCGGTTTATGTGCCTCACAAGAATAAATTTTCTTTCACGAACTTTCTCTCTTTAGATGCCACCCCTTCCTAATCTTCATGCACCCCCATCTTTCTTGGTTTATTTGAATCTACCCTCCTGTTTTTAGCTTAATAATATTCATCTTCTTAAAAGAAGGGTTATGGAAATTTCATCCTTAAAATGGTTTTTATATTCTCACACACTTTAGTTCTCATGCATGTAATCTAACCTTGTCGAAACAACTTCCACCCATCGATTTCCCCCCTTTCCCTCCCACTAACAATTATTAAATTCCTAATTTTGCTCCTCAAAGTCCTCTCAGCCATTCAAAATCCCAATCTCCAAAATATACTTTATCCTATAAACTTTACGTACACCACTAGCACATTGGTCCTAAAAGCTACACTTATCCCATTAGCTTCCTTCCCTCATCCCAACCATCTCCTGCAGTTCTTATGAATTTCCTTTTCATTAGCTTCATATACAGTTTTTAGTTCAATTTCTTAACTTTAACGCATCTCTTCTTGTTTACATTCTAAAGCTAGATTTTCTGGTCCTTTTTCCTTAAACTCAACAATCTCTGTTATTTCTGTTCTTTTAACAGAAATTTTATCGTAGTGGGTATATGCTTATCGTTTAATTGAGAAGTATTATGGTTCTGTCCATCTTTTAGTGATGTCATTCTTGCAACTTCTATTGTCCCAAGCTCTCAGCATTCTATATCCTTGGATGCTATCTGAGTTCCTGTTATACTTATTTTTCTGATTTTTTGTGCCTTTTAATGTCCAGTTAGTGCGGCTACAGCATTTATAAAGACGGTTATAGAGCTACGTGGAAAGAAGAACATTTCTTGACTGTTGTTGTGGATATTATTAATATTAATTTTTATGAAAAAGTCTGCCAATAACTTTTATGTAGAGACTATATTCTAGTGGATTTGGCTGTAAAAATTATATTCATACTATAAAAATTTCAAAAAAATAAATAAGAAAATATTACCCAAATAAAAGTATGCAGCAATTTGAAAAACAAAACTAAGAGATAGCTGTCCCAAACAAATCCATAGTACTTGTGAGCATCAATTCGTGAAATTGTGGAATACCATACCATGTGAATGATGCTCTGTGAAGCTTACTTGCAACAGCTTTGTCCCAAATGATAAAAAATTTTCTGTTACCCCTTATTTCTTATAGGAGTCTAATTTTTGCTTAAAATTTATTGTTCTTGGTGAACGTGAACTAGTTTATCCATTTTGCTTCACACTCTTTTCAAAATATGCTGTAGAATTAATTGACTTATGTCACTTGTATTTGATTATTTGAGAGTGTAATATGTTATCAAAATACAGTTGTAACTCTAGGATTGTTGAAGTTAGACAGTAATAAAGTGAAAGAAATGATATGATTTTATTGCACTTAATGAAGTGAAAGCTATCAATTAATGGACCTGACTGAGCCTTTATTCCACTTTTGGTTCAAGCATAAGTAACGATAACTTACTGAATTACTTCTGAATTGTTTGTGTAAACCAATGTCTTTTCGTTAACCACGTCAATCACTTCACTGAATAAACTAGAGAATCTTATCGATGCTGTGGTCTTTTCAAGGAACACAGGATCATGTTTTATGTTTCTCTAGCAGTTTAAAATAAATTTTATTACCTCATTTTCATGAGAAAACGTGAATGCTGATTATTTCTGTATCATGCCAAATTGTTTCATTCTTTTAACATCTCTATTTTCAGGCCTGTGATTGACTTTAATGAGGTGACTCTCCACTATCTAGAGTGCATCCATGTACATCTGGACAACACCAGACCAAAGGTATGATAACATAAAACAAAATCACTTTATTTCTATTCCACCAGCTTTGTTATATATCCTTGTACACCTCAAGCTCCTTTTCCTTCAAACAAATAAAAATTTTACCAGCTGGACCTCACCTGCAGGTAAATACTGTTATTGGAACTGTAACTCCAAATCAGAATGATTTTAAAGGATTTCAGACTCCTCTTACTAATCCAGTATGTTTAGAGTTGTATTGTTCCTTATATTCTGTTGAGTGAGATCATCATACTCATTAGCTAATGTTCCCTTACATAAATTTTGTTCTGATGGCTAATTTCAGATTCCAGGCATGAAATTTTCAGATAATGATATCCAAAAAAGGGTCCTTGATGTTTTCATGGAACCAGCTAGCCTGTAAGTTTGCTAACCTTTTTTTGCTTTGTTACATCCAAGCGTTTGTGGAATGCATTGTGTGTATGGAAGAAATGATTTGTTTTATGTTGACTACGTACAATGAATGTGGATCGAGAACTTCTATAGGATTTGGGTAGGCGTTGAAGTAAGTGCATTCACAATGACTTCCAATTTAATAGCCATTTGTGGTTTTTCTATATGCTTCCAAAAGATGCAATTACTTCGTTCTGATTCATTTGCTAGCTTATTTTTTGTCACAACCCGCTTGTTATGTGCCTTGGTCTATTTAGGTGTTTTAAGGGAAGCTTCTTGCTTGGGCCATGCTAAATGCTGATAGGGACGAGAAAAATGTAGATTGAGAACTTAAATAAGAGTGGGAGTGTGTTTATTACTCACTGGAACCTATTTTATGCTTTGAAAATATTTACATATAGATTACTGTGGGCTCCGAAAATTCGTCCCCGGCCTTCGCCCGCTATGCTTTTTCTTTTTTGGGGAGTTTTAACGGACTAAGTTATGGGGTAAATTTTAGAAGGCAGATGAGTTTGTAGATAAGACACTACTCAAAGATTTCTCCCTCATTTTGCGAGGACTTTATAATATGAGTTCTGGTTTCCTATAGGCGCAAGCCCCTATAGTAATTACCCCTCCCGATAACGAGAGAGAACTTTTGATTAAGGCTAGTTATCAATCAGATACATTATATCCGTAGATACGTAGTATCAGGCGTATAGTAGCAACATGGGCTTGAGAATTTGGAAATTTGAAGATTTTGGAGGATTTGATATTTAAAATAGAAATTTCACCATCTTGCACTTAAAGCGGATGGTGGGGGAATGGATGATGAACCTGATCAATACCCCATGGTTCTGTCGTCCCGGGCTATCGTGGTCCCTGGTCTACTTAGTCAGAGGAGGTAGTCGACCCAACTTGACAGAAGGATCCTTGTCTGCTGTCATGGGTTGCTTCGTCGAAGGAAACTTTGTAGACTTGGGGTAGATGTTTCTCTAAGGAGACAAATTTGAATCCACCTTAGCTAACATAGGGCATTATGTCCTGTCGATCATATCCTATTGATTCATATCTCAAAGATTTAATGCCACTAAGGAGTATATTGACTCTGGCAATAAATGTTATTTCATGGTTCCATTTGGCGGAAAAACCACTCGGTTCAGAGTCCTCCGGGTCATAACCGTTTATCCTGCGGTGCCATTTGGTGGCAAAACCGCCAGTTAGAGGACACATATCATGTCCTTACTGGCAGGAAATTGTTTGAAATGGATCATAGTGATATTTTCGACTAGGCATTAGCTCTTTGTGAACTAGAGTAGATTTTAATTTGTTCACCCTGGCAAGCTGTTGCGGAGGGTGGATGAATTTTGCTTTAAGTGATCGATGAGTGGATTTCAAATTTTAAATATTTTGGATTTTAGGGTTTTGGATTTTTTTGGGAACTTTTAATTTTGTGGGTATTTGGGTGAAGCTTAAAATATTTGGAATTTATCCCTCCGGTTGAGATCTTCGTTTAACACGACCATCATCGGGGTGATTTTAAAGTCACTTAAATATATTTGAATTTTGTGGAAGTTTAAGGACATTCTGAAATATTTAAAATTAACCCTTCCGGTTGATATCTGCATTCAACACGGCCATCACCGGGTTGTGGGGCCATTTTCATTTGAAAATATTTGTATTTTGTGGATGAACCTTGTCGACTCTGTCGAGTTATCGATAGAGGATCGGATTTCGCCATAGGCTTTGTGCATTTATTAGTGAATTCTCATTGTTATAAGCCTTGAATGTCTAATATGAATATATTAAAACAAATATACCAGTCACCACAGCCATATATTTGTTTGATAGTTCGAACCCTATTGACTCTTATTAGTTCACATATAAGGATCGGGTTTAAACTTGAATTCACTTATTGACCTGCGCAGCATCCCTAGACATCACGTGTGTAATAATAACACGCTTGCCGGGGCTAATGCGGGTGTTTGGGGGCATTTATAATTATTTGCTGAACCTTGTTGACTCCTATCTATTTGTTTATGATGATCGGGTTCATAGGCTTTATGCCTTTATTAGTGAATTCTTATTGTTATAAGCGTTGAAGGCCTAATATGAATGTATTAAAACAAATATACAGGTCACCACAACTGTATATTTGTTTGATAGGTCGAACCCTATCAACTCCTATTGGTTTGCGTAGAAGGATCGGGTTCGAACTTGAATTCACTTATTGAACACGCTCGTCGGGGCCCATCCGAGTGTTTGATTATATTTATCCTTTTGTGTACCTATGTGTGTACAAATTACAATGCATGTGCATTTTGAAATATTTGTAAACGCCTTCTGTCCGCTTGCATGGCTGTCGCGGATCCGGTGGCGTATTATAGCAGCTTTTGGATTGAGTTGTTTACTGCTTTGTTCAGGTTGATTGTCGTGCACTATTTGTATGATTTACGCAGGTAGATTATAGTGCACTAATGAATCTCCTACTTTGGGTTTGTTGATGCTTGCATTTGTTGTAATTGATTGAATGATTGATACAAATGTCATTCTCAAAAAGACTGGGATGGATACTCTGAGACCATTTTGTTTTCATCATTCGTCACTTGACTGCATTGAGAGCTTAATGTGTTTGTTTGTAGATTATCATTGACTGTCGAGCTGTCATGTTCATTGTACCTTCTTGCGATTGTTGCAATTATCTCACATTATTCAGCTACATGATCGAGATAAGTATCATGAGTTGGTTGATTGCCAATTGCATATAAATTTTGCAATCCCTTAAAGACATTGTGTTATCATCATTTATGAGTGAATGACACCTTGCAAGTCCGTTGATCCACAAGTTTTATACATTTCCACTTGCATCTCAATTGAAATGGTAGTCTCCCAATATTTCATTGGAAATATTGTATCACCATTCAAATGAGATTCCTTATTGATCTCTTGTCTTAGTTATGTTTAACTTTCAAGTTGGATTTGCATTTCTACTTAATTCTTGCTTGCATGTTGACTTCTAATGTTCTTATGGTTTAGGTTTTTCAAATTAAGTTTAAGTATAAGTTGAACTTAATGTCAATTATTTAATGTCTATTTGAGTTCAGAACAGGTCTCATGTTGTCCAAATCAAACTCAAGTCTAAGTTCTTTCAAGTCCAGTTCAAATCAAATTCATAAGCTCAATGTGCAAGCTCAAGTTCTATGTCCCCTGTAGTCCAACTCAAGTATTCGCTTGCGTTCAAATGTCCAAGTCACGTTCTTTTTTTTTTATTATTTTGTAAGTTCAAGTCATTTGTTATTTGAATTATGTTCAACTTTAAGCTCAAGTCCAAGTCCCATTTTTGTTTAAGTCCTTGTGCGCTTCAGATGAAATTTTGACAACCTCCCGACGTTTCCCCCGTTTAGGGGAAAATCTGAGAGACTAGCCTACCCCTCGTCGCTACTTTCGCTTCGGGTAGGTGTCTAACGACACTGTGGCCACAAATTCTTCGATCCCCGCCCGCTAAATGAGCGCTTAAGGGTCTTGGGCTTCTGTTGAAAAGAGCACAGGGATTTCCCCATGTGTGGGTACTTAATTTTGTTCCCCTCATGCTACATGAGCGGTCTGGAGATTACCTATCTCGTCGCAAGCGTCGTGCCAGTTTCCCTCCCTACTACGCTACGTGAGTGCGTAGGGGGTTTGCCAGCTCATCGAATAATTAAGTTAAAAATTTATACCTTGGGGACCAGCGGTGTTGGTTCGTGGATTGAGGCAAGAGGATGGGCACATTACTTCTCTTTCTTATAATCATTTAACTAAAATTAAATATAATTAATTATAATAACTATTATTAATTAAAGTAATTATAATTAAAATTAGTTAAAATTAATTTTAATTAAGATTAATCCCTAGTTTTACGAATTTACGGGATTAAGCCGAAGATGTGCGCTGAGGAGGCTACATTCACAGAGAGCAAACTCCAATTGTAACTTCCGATCAAAATGTCCTGGCTCCTGATTCGACAGGAAGAGAACATCTCTGGAAGAGCGAAGTCGAACAGCACGAAGGACCCAGAGAAGCAACGCGAAGGGGAGAAAGTTATCTTCACAGCCGTGAGCTCCTGTTCTTGCTTTGCGATCAGCCAGGAAGGGAATGTCGTCGACGGAGCGAGGTCGAAAATCACGAAAGAGTCGGAGAAGCAACGCGAAGGTGAGAAAGTTATCTTCACAGCCGCGAGCCCCCGTCGTTGTTCCCGTCAAAGTGGCGTAGCTTCCGATCCAGCGGGAATGGAACGTCGTCGACGGAGCGAGGTCAAACAACACGAAGGAGCCTTCTCTGCAAGCGACTCCTGTCATTGGTTCCAATCAAAATGTCGTAACCTCTAATCCGACAGGGAATGGAGTGTCTTCATCGGGGTAGAAAGCAAGAGAGATCCGAGCGAGAGCCTCAACTCTCTCATTCCTCCGCTATTTAACACGATGGGTAGCTCGTGCAGATAACATGCAAAGAAGAGACGTCGGCGTACGAGCGACGTGCGAGGTCTCGCGACGCTAGGATTTTTTTTTTTTTATATATATACAAAGGTCAACAATCACCTACTACATCCAAAGTATTTGCTATCTTTTTTGTCTATATTATTAGGTTTCAGGGCTGAATATAAGTGGTTAAGGAGGTTTCAACATTTATATCAGGATTTCATGGGTTTAATATGAAGGGTTTAACTTGTTCAACTTAACCTATTTAGGTTGCAAGAGAAGTACTACTGAATGGTTGGTTGTTATTAAAAAAAAAAAAAACTGAATTGATGGTTGTTTAGTCTCTCATTGTTAAGTGATATTATGGTCTATTTATATGACATTTATAGTCTTTTTATATTAGGATAGTTATGTCTTGTATTGTTGAATTATAATAATTATACATGATTTTATAATATTTTATATTATTTTAAAAATAATGCATGCCATGCTACACGCCAATGTGCCTTATTCTTTATTGACAAATATTTCACAACTCACATGTCCACAATTCACCTACCTGTGATGTGCTGATCCTTTCTCTAAATTCTTTTTGTTCCCTTCTCATTTAATGATAGCATCTGTACTGATTTGAGGTTGTTGTGTCTGCAGTGTGCGAGAACAGGGATTACATATTGATGAAGTTATTAGAAGACTTGATTTGCCACGGAACAAGATCATGTCCGTATCTTGAATTCCCTAAACATTTAACACTTACATATTTCTGGTGTCTTGTTTGCTTCCTAAAAGTTACAGAATTTTTCGTGCAGGGAAGCTATTTCATATCATAATGATCTTGGTCATATCTACTCTACAATCGATGATTTCCATTTCAAGTCTGCAATGAATGGATGAATGGTATGATGAATCTTTCTACGTCGCCATCTGCAATTGGCAATTCTCTTTGTTTTATTTTGAATGTTTTTGCTCTGCTCTTTTAGAGTTTTTGTTTTTTCTTCACAGTTTTGTTCTTTTAGTTTTTCTGGTTAAGTTCTGGCAAACTCAAGCTTTTTACAAGCTTTCAGACACCCATAATCTTGTTGTAAGCTTATTTATCAATGAAATTCATGGGCTAATTAGATCCATGTTGTTGATCCTTCTGTTTTTGTACTTCTCTAGGCATCGTATTAAATTTTCCAGCCTCTAATCATCTAACTAGATTTCTTTCAAGAATGAAGAAACTTTTTTTAGTTTTTGAAAGCTTACATTGTTTGTGAACACTACTAAACCATACTAAAGGGCTGTTTGGTTGGATGCGAAGTGGAACAAAGTAAAATAAAGTATGTAATGTATATCTTTTTAGTTTATTATTGAAGTAAACTAAGCTCGTTTAATTTTGAGCGAGAACTATTCATATCACAAGCATGCTTGCTTGACAGCTCTTACTACTGCCTCCATTCAACGCTGGCCACTACACACAACTCTCCTTGGCCTGTTGGTTGAGAGCTTAGGCTTCCAACCAAGAGGTCCAAGGTTCGAGTCTATGTGTATGCGTTGTGTGTGAGTTTGCCTTAATTGGCCTAAATGTCCCAAAAAAAAAAAACGCTGGCCACCACTGCTGCTAGTGGTGGCTGCCACCACCTGCTAAGTTATTTAAATTATTAAATATTTAACATAATATATAATATAAAATTAAGTATAAAATATAATTTTAAATATATATAATTTAAATTTAATTGAAAATTAAGTAAATATTTGACGACCAGAATATGTGAAACAATTCCATGTAATTCAAAAAGCGTGAAATCATTTCGCCCATTCAATTGAATGTGTGACATGCAACTGAATGGGTGAAATGATTTCATGCATTCCATTGAATGCATGTAATCTAATTTTTCGTATGCTTCTTTTTAATTTTTCTTTTCATTATGGTCCTATTACTATTTTAATTTATTAATATGATCCTTTTAAAAATTTTGCATCCGAATTATCGAATTCAGCAACCGAGGAAAAAAAAAAATCACAATATTATTTTGTTGCCAAACAAACATTGATCTTCACACTACTATCCATTGGAGGATTATAGCATGTGAATCGTGGAAGGCGATATGGCGTCTATGCGTATGAACCGCGAAAGGTGACACACGAAAGGGAAGGCGTGATCTCTTGAGTTGTTCGCGAGCTCACTTTTAGTGGCACGAGTGAAGCTCGAGCTTGCCTTTTGAGCTCGACTTGAGTTCAAGCTCGGGATTTCGCTTGCATGTCGAGCTCAAGTTAGGCTTGACTCGAGCTCAACTAGACTTGTTTGCCTCCTAATTTGGTCACATAAAACGTCGGTTTTTTTATGACCAGATTAGGAGAGTACATGTATTAGATACGGCCTATGTTAAGAAGGGTATATACAGACCTAAAAAGACTTTGTAATAAATATTAGAAATGATATTTTTTATTAGATTTAATTAAAAAATGACTTTTAACAGTATACAATAGATAAAAATGATTCATGTATCTGACCCCACAGTGGGATAAAGGCTTAATAAGTTGTTATTGCACACCTCTAATCCCCCTCTATCAAGTGAAAGAACTAGTTTTTTTTTTTTATGTTGTGATTAAATAGGGTATGAACACAAACCTTAACCAAATAACCTTAGCTCCTTCAAGGAGCATGCTCCTTTTTTTTCTCTCAAAAACAACATTTTATTCATAAAAGTTAAGGATTACAAGACCCATGGACTGACAGCCACTGCAAGAAACATCGGAGACACAAACCATACAACAAGAAGCAAAAACAACAAGTAGGACAAAATTTAAAGAAAGTCAGTCGGACTCAGGTACGGAAGCCACCAGCACCAATCCCACGACCAGCCACGGACCATCCATAGGTGAAAGTTCCAGAACACCAAAGCCACCAAAAACTCCACGAATAACACCCAGGTTGCCAACCAGCGAATCGAACAGGGGGAAGCAGGGGGTTTCCTCATCATTGTTCATAAAGCCATCAAAAACCATTGCCAAAAGGAAAGGTGAATGAGCCTAGCTTATTTCTTGCCATTACCTTTCCTCCTTTTACCACCATTTGGATGACAAAAATTAGCAGGCACCACCTCCTCAAAATTTTAGAGTTTTTGGAGCCCGTTTTAAGTATAAAAAAGTAATACTTTTAATGAGTAACTAAGAGAGAGGGGAACGTGATTAGAGAGAGAGCTCTTGAGGAGATTTTATGGTTTGTGAGAGGAAGGAGAAGGTGGGCTTCGTGAGGGAGAAGGAGTGTGAGGGAGATCACACGGTTGCTCCAAGCTTGCTGCACTTTGCTCCTCCTGTGGCCCGAGAAGATCTTGTAGGAGGCTTTCTAAGGGGGAGACTCTTCTACATCCGTGTCCTCTAAGGTACTCTGCCTTCTCTAGGAGGGAGAAAAATAAGAAGGTACGCTGCCGTCGCCAGAAGGGTGAGAAAAGCATTTGGCTCTCCGCCACACCTGGTTGGTGAAAGTGAGTCTTGTGAGGACTTCTCCGCCTTGTCGAGGGGGAAAAAGGAGAACTATAGTTTTGTAGTGAAATTCCCGGAGTGGAGGACTCCGGGGAGTGGACGTAGGTCAAGTGACCGAACCACTATAAAAACTATAGTGTGTTTTTTTCTTTACCACTTTTTTTTTTGCTTGCACTTTATTTTCATTACATTTGCTTGGTGATAATTGTAGTAAAAATCATTGTTGCAAATTGTGTTCAGCTACTTGCTTTCGCATTAAATTTTTAAGGTTAAAATTTAGAAATAAAAAAAAAATTATTAGAACTCATGTTTAGGATTTTTATTGCAATAATTTTCGCAATTCACCCCTCTTGGCGTATGTAGTAATTTCAATTGGTATCAAAGCGGGGTTTCAAAAATAGTGTTTTAGAAAATCTTAAAAATCGGTCATGTCTCATTTTGGTAATCGTAATACTGCAGAGGCTTATTCAATAACCCGTCCACCTCTTTTTGATAATATCCCATCTAATTTCTGGAAGATTAGAATATCTATTTTTTTATAGTCTATTGATTACCGCTTGTGGATGTTAGTAAATGATGGTTATGCTGCACCTTCTAAACTTGTGAATGGAGTGAAAACTTAAGTGCCTTTCAATGAATGAAGTAATGAGGATAGGGAATTAGCTCAATTAAATGCGTAGTGCTTAAATTATTTCTTTTATGCTTTAAAATCTTAGGATTACATGAGAATTTCTACTTGTGCTATTGGTAAGGAGATTTGTGATAGACTGTGCATCACGTACGAAAGATTTAATGAAGTTAAACAGTCTAGGCTTAACATTCTACTACATGATTATAAACTCTTTTGTATGAAACCTATCGAAATAATATCTGACATGTACACTAGGTTCACCCAAATTATGACATCCTTGCATGCATTAGGTAGAGAAATTTTAAATTATGAGAAAGTTAACAAGATTCTTAAATGCTTACCTAGTTCCTATGATGAAAAAATTACTGCCATCACTGAGTCTAAAGACCTAAACGTTTATTCTATTGATAATTTTCCTTGGTCACTCATTACATACGAGCAAGGAGTGAGTCAAAGGCAAAGAGATGCAGGTGAAAAGAAGAAGAAGCGGACGTTGTCATTAAAAGTGAACAATTCAGAAAGTGAAAGTTCTGCAAGGGAGGAAGAATATGACATAGCCTTGATGACCCGATAGTTCAAGAACTTTTTGAAAAAAAAATAAATAAATGCGTCATCAAAACAATTGGAATAAAGGTAAAAGCTCGAGAACTACTAAAGTTTCATGTGACACAATTTTCTTTGAGTGCAGGAAGCCAGGTCACCTCCGAGCTGATTGCCCCAACCTAAAGAGCCAACCAGCCATGGAAAAAGGCGAGGATAAAGCCAAGTACAAGAAAGGAAAGATGAAGACACAAAAAGCATTTTGGGCCGACTCTGCCTCAAAATCGTCAGAAGAAGAAGCAGATGAGGAGGTAATAAATTTGTGTATAATGGCTAATGATAATCTTGATCAATCAGATCAAGACAAGGTATTTCAACTTTTATATGAAGATTTACTGCTTATTCTAAAAAAAATTCATGACTCGTATAGGAAATTAAAAAGGATGCATGCTAGTCTTAATATTGATTTTAGTACTTTACAAACTGAGCATGCTAACCTAGTTAAAGAACATTCTGATTTAGATAGGGATCACATGTCCCTGCTTGATGAGTATGATGCATTAAATAAGAAGCCTATTGAATTAACATAAGCATATGAATCCTTGAAAATCACGCATGTTGAACTAGAATAGGCTTTTGATAGACTAGACAAACTTGTATTTGAGGTAGAACACAATGAACATTTATTAAAAATAGAAGTTCATGGATTAACATAACAAAACAACACATTTAAAGAAAAAAAATCAAAAAACTAAAAAAAGAAAATGCATCACTCACATTAGTCCAATCTAGCAAACCCCCAGCACTGTATGCATCACAAACTTTAGGAAGAGGCAACACCACTCACATAGGTTAGTAAACCCATTTCCCAATGTTAGGTGCTTCTCTTGTGGCATGCTAGGTTATATAGCCCGCACATGCACGATTCACCCTATAACACACTTGGTATGGAGACCTAAATTGCATCCATCATAGCATAGCATGTATACATCTCATTCATGCTAGCATAAGGAGGAACCCAAACTCACTTGGGTTCCCAAATCTAACCCTTGAATAAAATTATAGGGATGCTCTAAAAAAAGACCTAGTGAGAGCATGTGGTACCTGGACAGTGGCTGCTCGCGACATATGACTGGAGATATGAAGAAGTTCATTTTACTGGAGACCAGGACCGGAGGTAAAGTAACATTGAGAGACAACACCATCAAGAAAGTAGTGGGCTCAGGTATTGTTGGTAATGCTAAGAATTTTTTAATTGAAAATATTTTATTAGTTGATGGTTTAAAGCATAACTTAGCATTAGTCAATTATGTGATAAAGATTTTGACATAAAAATTCCCTCTAACAAATGCCTGATTAGCTTAAATGACAAACTAGTTTTAGAAGGAAAACGAATGAACAATGTTTACATGTTAGACCTTAATTGCATTGATAGTTCAAATTCATTTTGCTTGAAAATAATTATTGATGCCTCATGGCTATGGCATAGGAGACTATGC